TATCCTGGAGGCTCTTGTTGTTTATCCATCTTATATATAGTCATTTGCAGCCGCTAATCCCAGACTCTCGGGCCATCCCTTCTCTACCCCTCCTCCACCTTGGCCCGCTCAGAGCTGTTCTCTGTGTCCGTGAGTCTGAAGAAACCATGGCTGTTACCCCTGCAGGTGGCAGGTCTGTCCATCCTTTGTCTCCAAACGCCACCGCCTCCTCGCAGTTTTCTGTGCCCACGAAGCCCCCTCGCCCTCCCCCTCAAGCTGTCTCAACATGCCCCTCCCTGCTGTGAGGACCCACTTGGGATCTCAGAAATGTACACCTGAGAAGGGTCCGGGAATCAGCCGCCAGCCCCTCACTCGGGATGGGTGCACCCAGCTCCCCGGCAGGGACTTCCGAGACCACCCCTCAGCTTCTCCTCCAGGGCCCTGCCCGCCTCCCCTCTCCCCTGCAGCCGCTCCGAGGAGGAGGACCGAGTCCTTCCTCCGGACCTGCTTAGCTTTCCTCCAGGGCCCTGCCCGCCTCCCCTCTCCCCTGCGGCCGCTCTGAGGAGGAGGACCGAGTCCTTCCCCTGGACCTGCTCAGCTTTTCCGCCTCTTCTCCTCCAGGTGTGTCTCTGCCCATCTACCGGCTGCAAGAACTAGCACACTTGAATTTGGTACTTCTTTTTCAAGAATTTTTCAATTTGGCTTTTATTTTATATGGAAATCTAGTTGATTTACAATGTTGTGTAGTTTCTGCTGTGTAGCACAGTGATAAAGGTATGTGAACACATGTGTCCACTCTTCTTCAGATTCTTTTCCCTACTGGTGACTGCAGCCTGTTGAGCAGCGTTTTGTGCAGTAGGCCCTTGTTGGTTACCTGTTTTCTGTGTGTGTGTGTGTGTGTGTGTGTGTGTGTTAATCCCAGACTCCTAGCTTGTCCCTCCCTTCCCCTTTGGTAACCGTAAGTTTACTTTAAAAGTCTATGAGTCTGTTCCTGTTTGAACTCAATACTTCTAAAGCCCATTTTACATAAGACAAATTTGGGCTATGGTTTTTTTGGCTTTGTTTTGTTTTGTGTGGGAGAGGCTACAGTTTTTTGATTGCCAAATTACGAGGCTCTCAGTTTTAGGTGGGACAGATTCCTGACTTTAAACCTCATTGAGTCGCATAGTGAGAAGCGTGTTTATTATCTCTCCATCCTTCAGAGGGAAGTCTCAAGTCAGGGCTGATCTCTTCTTCGTCAGTCTGGCTCTGTCCCTTTTCAGGCAGAAGTGAGGAGGCTGGGCTCCACGTCTTTAGCACAGTCCGGATCCAGCAAGAGAGAAATCACTTCTGAGTATTGTTTTTTTTTCATTAGTGTATTTAATTTTGGGCTGTGCTGGGTCTTGTTGCGACGTGGGCTTTCCTCTAGCTGTGCGAAGCAGGGAGCTAGTCTGCAGTGCCGTGTGCTGGCTTCTCACTGCAGTGGCATCTGCTGTTACGGGCACAGGCTCTCGGCACGGGCCCAGGAGCTGTGGCACACGGGCTTGGTTTCACCGCAGCACGTGGGGTCTTCCCAGAGCAGGGATCCAACCCGTGTCCCTGCATTGGCAGGCGGACTCTCACCCCCTGTGCCACCGGGGAAGCCCTGACTACTGTTTTACTGGACTTCACTCTGTTTATTGTGTGAGTGCCCTCTCGTTCTTTAATGACACTGCTAGCTTTTGAATCGAGCCAGAGGTTAAAGGTTTCCATTTTAAATAATGCTAGAAATAAAAGAAGACTCAACCTAGATAAAAGCATTAAGTGGATAAAATGCTGGTGGCATGGGGCTATGGTGCCACCCACACATGTGCACACGAGAGCCTCCACGCAGTGGAAATGAAGTTTACCGAACAGCACACGGTATCTACTGCAGGGGAGGGACGTTTGGACAAGACAGGCCCCTCTGTGGCCCCCAAGGGCATTTCCGTTCACCCAACCCGTGTGCAAAAGTACCTGACCGCATCCGAATTAGTCAAGTATCCTGTCGTGGTGGAAATAATTTCCTGAAACTCAGATTCCCCTTCTGTAATCTAGCCTAAACTCTGATTTGGAAAGCCAAGAAGTCCTATTTCGTTTCTGCTATCACTGTTACTGAACCTCACTCCCTAGATAATTAGTGCCGTATAAAGTTCTTAAGCCTCTCTTCTTCCATCTCGGTGTCATGAGATTGGTTTCCTCTGCTCCATGCTCCCTCACCACGAATGTGCCAAACTGAATATTCGGTTTTTAATAAACGGAGGAGACCCCCTCTGTCCACACCTCACTGGCTTCGCACCTGCAGAGACTGAATCTTCCAGGTGGCACTCTTTCTTGGCAGTAGAGTAGTGAAGTGTTTGTAAGTGGAGTTTGTACATCTGGCAGCCAGAAGTGTCCCATATGCATTAATATTTTCTGCAGGAAAAGATGCGTTTGAAGTGACCATAGTGCACAGATTCTCTTAGAGTTGCAGGGTATTTATAACCTGTTATTTTAAATTCTGAGCATATCTGTAGCTCCAGAGGTACAAAAATAAACTATGTTTTCTTGGAAAAATGTGTTTATCTGGGATGTGACAGGAGTTGCAACCTTAAACAAGATTTCCAGGCATTTACAGTTGAACCATGCCAGTGAAAATATGTTATTTAGACATTAAGATCCTAGGGTGCCCACGTACATATCCTAAATGGTGTGTGTTACATGAGCTTTCTTGCCTACTTGCTTTGGCTTTGAAGGTTTTTAGTTCTGGCTCCTGGAGTGTTAATGTACTGCCGGGAAAGGTGAACTCAAATGGTGAGTCTTATTTGCGGTTCAACACATTGGGTGGTGTGTTTCTTACGTTCAAGAGAATTGTGTCTGGTGTAGGTAAAAGTCGCATCACAATGGATAAGCTAACCTTGCTTTTATTACCCCTAGCAGCAGAGAGGTTTTTGATGGGCGATTGGAAGAGGAAAAAAACAGCAGGTTTACTTGTCAGTCACTGTTCATTCATCTCTGTGTTAACAAGCATCACTCAATTTTCCATTCTCTGCAGAGCTGTGTGGGGAGATGGGCAAGCAGAGAGGAGAAGGTGGGACCCTGTGCTCATGGAGCCTAAAGTTTTATTTGTTTCATCCGAGTTTTACAAAAATCAAGATAAGTTGCTTCTTTGATCAAATTATAACATCCAAAAGTTAGTAAACAGTAACTCGGTCAAATATGCAGTAAACTCATATTGAGGATTTATTTAAAACATTAATGAGGAAAAGAGGAGGAAGATAAATTGGTTCAAAGAAGGATATGAGAAAATGCCTAGGTAGGTATGTATATAGACAGTGTACCTGATACAGTGATGGGGGAATAAAATGCTGGAATAAGATGGCAAAGTTAGACACAACTGATTAATGCCTTGCAAGGCAATAAAACAGTAATCTTTGGTTATAGCTCAACTGGGCAGGAATCTTTGCACCTGTAATAGACCAATATGATTCTTAAGTTACCAGTCTTATACAGTCTCTACAGAGTCAGGGTCCAATCAGTAATAAACAGTAAGTCACAATGAGTTACGTTTCCTGAGACCGTTAGACGACCTGGGTAAGTTTATGAGTCAGTGCTGCATATGCAGACTTTCTGCAATGACAATAATATTCTGTACATGTGCTGTCCAGTGTGGTAGGCACTGCACATATGTGGCTGTTGAGTGTTTGAAATGGAGAAAATATTTGCAAACAAAGCAACCACAAGGAATTAATTTCCAAAATTTACAAAGAGTTTGTGCCGCTTAATATGAAAAAAACAAACCACCCAATCAAAAATAGGTTAAAGATCTAAGTAGTCGTTTCTCCAAAGAAAACATACAGATGGCTAAGAGACACATGAAAAGACACTCAACATCGCTAATTATTGGAGAAATTCAAATCAAAACTACAGTGAGGCATCACCTCACAATAGCCATAATGGCCATCATCAAAAAGTCTACAAACAATCAATGCCAGAGAGGGCGTGGAGGAAAGTGCTGGTGGGGATGTAAATTGGTGCAGCTACTGTGGAGAACAGAGGGAGGCTCCTTAAACTAAAAATAGAGCTACCATAGGCCCCTGCAGTCCCACCCCTGGGCATATGTCTGGAGAAAACCATGGTTCAAAAGGATACATGCACTCCTGTGTTCATTGTAGCACTGTTTACAATAGCCAAGACATGGCAGCAACCTAAGTGTCCACTGACAGCTGAATGGATAAAGAAGTTGTGGTACATGGATACAATGGAATACTACTCAGCCGCTGAAAAGAGTGAAATAGTGGCCTTTGCCACAACTTGGATGGACGTGGAGATTACCACACTAATTTTATTTAATTTTCATTAATTTTGATTTAAATGACCACATGTGATTAATAGCTTATTGGACAATAGCTTATTAATAGCTTATTGTCCAATACCTTATTGGACAGCACAACTCTAATATGCCGTTAAATGACCAAGCAGTCATTTTTCTGCCTTGTTTCCAACCTTGGCTAATATTTTTCTTAAACACTCTGTAAATTAAGTCATGTTTTAAATATTGTTACATGAGCTGAATATGTAAAAGGATTTGGAGAGGACACCTTTGAAAAGACCTGATTCTTTCATGAAGCGTATAATTCCTTCTGCAAACTGAATGGTTCTTCTGTTGGGTGTCTTGACAGTAGACTCACCTGAAATCACTCTGGCCAGCATGGGAACCACTTAGGAAGTTAAGCCTGTCTGGAGGGAAGTCAACGCTGCATTGTATTTCCAAAGGCATTCATTTTCTTTTAGCAAGATAATAACAGTCATGTCCAGTTTTGATTAAAAGGAACTTTCTGCTTTGCAGCAAAGGGAGAGACTCTGAATATGACTATCATATTTCACAAGGATACAAGAATTTTAAGGCTTAAATAAGTTAACTTTTCTGCTGCCATCACTTCATTACTCAGAACGAGCAGTCAATGCATTGATAAGGTTGGCTTTGATTTCTCCTGAAGCTCAGTAGTTTTGCTTAATTTTCTCCTCTTTTCACTTGCCCGCAGGGCTTTTTCCGCAGAAGTATTCAGAAGAACATGATTTACACTTGTCACCGAGATAAGAATTGTGTTATTAATAAAGTCACCAGGAATCGATGCCAGTACTGTCGGCTCCAGAAGTGCTTTGAAGTGGGGATGTCCAAAGAATGTAAGTGGAACTTCAAAAATTCTTTTTCTCTTTGCTTTATCTGTAAATGTGATTACTCAGCCTCCAAAATCAAGTTGTGGAGGACATCAGCATGTGGAGTTCGGACATAACACTAATGATACATTGCCACAGTTAGGTGTCAACAGAGGTGACATGGACATAGAAAACTGGGGCTTCTCAGATACAATTTGAGTGGCATTTGGTGAAAGGGGAGGAGCTGGGGGTCGTGCTTGTATTCCAGAGCAGCTCGTAACTGACTCTGCGTCTCCGCTGGTAACCCAAGCGTGTCCTAGAACCACACGCAGACCATTCCCCCGTCTTGACAGGAGGAATAAAGAGCTCTGCCTGTATTGATGAGAATAAAATGGAGGCAGAGGCATGTGGAAATAACGCACACTTTCTCAGAGGGGAGGGGCACAAAACTTTTGCTGTCAAAGAAACGTTTAGAAATTTGGCACGCTGACACTTTTCCAAACTTGATCCAGCTTTTCTCCTTCCCACCATCCCCTCCTCCAATTATACACTTGATTAATTCAGACGAGAACATGTGAATAGGTTAGAAACGAGTGGTCCATAATCATCAGCTTATGGGTCTTTGAATTAGACGTGCTTTAACACAGGCAGAGGGAATACAGCACCAAAAAATCATTGCTTGTGGGTTCTCCTTGGTGCTTTCAAATGAAAAGAGCAAGAACATGCCAGACCAGTGCCCTGGCTTGGGCGGGTGTGAGGAATAGGCAGGTGTGTGTGCCAGGGGGAATGATCGGTGGAACTGCTGCCCACCTGCCCTGCATCCCGTGGGGGTCTCGTGGGGCCCTGGGCAGGGCGGTCTAAGTGGCTCTGGAGATGCTGAGCTGTGCACACCATCGTCTGCAAGTGTGGGGCAGAAGGCCACAGGCTGACAGTGGGGTTTGAAGACTTACGTTGTGCAGACGCTTTTGGACTTTGGAACTGGAACATGCGGCCCAGTGCTAGTGGAGAAGGTCCCTGGAGCCAGGGGGGCCCACACTGAGGGTGTGCAACGGGCCGCCTGGCTCTCCCCCGGGAGCTATGACTGGAGGATCTTTCTTGATGGTCTGCCTAGCGTGTTCCTAACTGTGCCCAGGCTTTAAATGGGCTTTTCCACCTCTTGGGTTTCTGCACTTCAGGGAAGACATCAGGGTTGGATCAATTCATTTGACTCAAGCCATTAGTATATTCTGTTCCAGGCACTATCATTGTTTCATGAACTTGTAACCTAGGCTGGTCCAGTGAGAAAGAGTTCAAGACTCATGCTCATGATCCATAAAAGAAAAAAACGGTTAATTAGACTTCATCAAAATCAGAAATGTCTGCTGTTCCAAAGACACTGTGAAATTAATGACAAGATCAGCCACAGGTGAGGAGAAAATATTTACAAATCATATATCTGATAAGGACTTAAATGTGGAATATGGAAAACCTTTGAAAACTTGATGATAAGAAAGCAAATAACCCAGTTAAAACAACTAACACGTACTCTTCAAAAATGCCAAGGTTCTGAAAGACAGAGTGACTGGGACATGACAGCTAAGTGATCCTGAAGATGCTGGAGTAGAAGGAAACTATCCATAAAGGGCGTTATTGGGATGGTTATTGAAATTTGAGTACAGACTGTAGATTAGAATTGAGTCCACTTTAAATTTCCTGACTTTGATCGTTGCGCTTTTGTTGTATGAGAAAGAGAATGTTCTTATTCTCAGTATCTACAACTAGCTCTCCATGGTTCAAAAGATAGGGAAAGGGTGTGTGTGTGTGTGTGAGAGAGAGAGAGAGAGACAGAAATGAGAGAGAAAGAAGAGAGAGGTGGAAAATATCAAATCTTATGAATCTGATTGAAGGGATACACCGTGAAGGAGCTCCTTATACTGTTCTTGAAACTTTTCAGCAAATCTGAAATTTCATCAAAGTAAAGTTACTAAAACCAAAGGCTCATGCTTAGAATGTTGGGGCCAAAGTGTCCCACCTCCTGCTGCAGGTGCATGGGGAAGCAGGTATCCACAGGTCCCCTCAGCCCTGAAGGAGGTCAGTGACAGGCCAGAGCAGGCTCTGTGGACAGAGGAGCGGACAGACAGACAAACTCGGGCCCTGACGGCATCCCTGAGTTGCTGGACCAACCACCCCTGGAACCTCTGCCTCCAGGTCATTTGGTTGTATCTGCCAAGAAGTCGTCATGAAGGCCCTTGGGCTGGGCTCTTATTCATCATTAAGATCCCGATGAAAGCATGGGATCACCAGCCCCATGGGTACCAGACAGGGAAGCATCGCGGGTGACATCCTCTGGGGGCTCTGTCTGCAGGTGATGAGTCCACATTTCAGCCAGTTCCTGTGATCCCCTCTGGACTTCAGAGCTATTTAATAAAAAAAAAAAATCAATGAATGTTGTGATATGAAGGTAATCTTTACTTAGCTCAGGCCCTAAACCCCACCACTGACGAGAAAAGAATGATACTGCCCTGAAATAGTCAGATCATTTACATGGGTACGTGAGGCCCACAGGATGTCCCCTTAACTCCCTTTTTTGGTCTGACATTCTTTAGATGTGGATGTTACACTGAAGTTCTGTGGGAGAATTTTGGTTCAGACTACAATTATAAACGAGTAAGGCAGCTGTGGACTCAGGGTAAATCGGTACTTTTGCCTTTATTTTGTGTGGGCTAGAGACCCATTTCCTGCTTACATTACTTAAAACCCATATCCTGCCACTCTGTAAAAACTGGCAGGTTGGTTGCCAATTTAAAAAATAACAATAATAATAATGTTTACACCCACAGGAAAACTCTAGTTTCAACCCTCAAGGAACTTATCACCCTAATTAGATTGAAAAATACAGGAATGGGAAGAAAATGGGATCATTATGCCCAAGTATACAAAAATAAATGTATTTTCTTTAGAAGGCAATTGAAGGTGAAGACAATAAACACTTGGAATATAGTGACTGAGAGTCTAATAGAAAATTTTAAAAGTTGAAACAGAAGGAAGCAGGAAAATAAAGAGAATCGGTAACCAATTAGACCACAGTATCAGCAACTGAAACAAACCCAGAAATCAGAGAGACTCTTGGGATGGTCAAGCTGAAAATGGATCTCAGAGATTGGTTTTCAGTCACCTCTCTCCCTTGACACACAAGTACAGCAGGACCCAGAAAGATGAAACGGCCCTCCCAGCCACCCCCTACTGGCTGCAGACAGACCCGGGCCTAGAGTTCACGGCTACCACCTCTCCTTGCCACGCTCTCTTTGCAGCACCAAGACGCACAAGGTTTGCCTTCAGGTCTGGTCGTAGGTCATGTCAGTTCACTAGGGTTTTGCAGAACTCTTTGGATGCAAGGGACAGAAAACCGAGCTGAAACTTGCCATAAGCTAAAAAAATCAGCGCATGTGATGGGGCTTTCCGGACACCATGACTGGATCCAAAGGCTCCTGTTTGTTTTAGGGGCATTTTCATTGCCCTCTTCATCTCTCACAGCTGGGGTTTTGTGGGTTTTTTTTTTTTGGTTTGTTATTTTACTGTGTTGGTTTTGTTTCTGGGAAGCTTTTCCAAGTGGCTAGTAAAGGTGGCCAACCAACAGCTCCAGCCAATAGCCTACCCAGCAGAAACACAGAGACCCAGATCCTCGGTGAAGGCAGGACTTGGGAGTGGGGCGGGGGCTGAATACTGTGATTGGCTAGTTCTGGATCCGTGTCCATCCCTGGACCCCCACCCCCACCCCAAAGGAGCCAAGAGTACGGGAAACCAGAGGGATGGGGGCAGAAACAACTTCATGTTCACCATGAAACATCGAGTCTCATGGCACTGTTCCCAGTATGTTCTTATTCTTGAGTCTGGGTTGGGGGAAAGAAAGAAACCTCAGAATTACAGTGCTCGCTAACACAGACAAGGCGTTTTCTGTGTACCAGGCACTGCGTAAACTGCTCATGTCATCCCATCCTCGGAACAACCCTGTAGGATAGGTTAGTTTCAGTTCCTCTCTCTCCCTGTTTTAGGAAGATGTGGATGTTGAGACACAGAGAGGTTAATTGACCCGACGTAACACAGTGGGTAAGAGGCAACCCTGGGCTTAGGTCCCAGGGAGTGATACATACTGTGTGCCTTAAAAAGCAGCTTTGAAAACTCTGGGTTTTATTGCCAGTGGTTAATAAAACAGCAGTCACACTCCTTGCTGTATATTAGAGATGTATGCCCTGGAAAATCATGTGCAAATTTAATTTTTATAGATCAAATTTGGTTTTAAATGTATACGGGGATGTACACAGAAAGCCTTTACTGTGTGTCCCATCAGAAAAGCAAGGTTGTTTCTTCATTTTCCTGTTCTCTGAATACTGGTGGGCGTACCTTCTATTTTCCAAGGGCTTTGTACGAGAAGGGAACCTTTTTTTTTTTTTTTTGCGCAGAAGAGTAGCTATTTGTCAGAGCATGGGATTTGAAAGCGGTAACAGCAAGGGGGAAAAAAATTGATTTTCAGCTGCATTTGAAAAGTAGTGCAAAAATTTATGAATAACTTGGGGAGGAGGAAAGGAAGTAACATGACTCCAGCTTGAGTGATGAGCTTCTGCTGGTGGGCAGGAGGCTGGTGACCATGTCAGGGAGGCAAGCACCGCAAAGCCCTAAAGCAAAAACCAGGGGCGGGGGAAAGAGCAGCAGCAAATGAAGACAGGAAAGTTGGGACTGAGAGTGAGACATTCGGTCCAGACAAGCTTATGTCCGTGGTGGGGAGGGAGCGGGTTGAAGCCGTGCTGCTTAGAGACCACAGGAGGAAACTGACAATGCATTCTGGTCAGTGACAGAAACCCCAGTGAGAGTTCACATTTTTCAACCATTGATCAACAAAACTGAGGGTGGACTCTACCGCTGAGCCACCGGGGGAGCCCAGTCACAGCTATAGAAAATAAAAGAGCAGAGAGGCGTGGTCGTGTCCCAGTGCAGCTTCGTTTACAACACAGGTGTCGGGTGGGTTGGCCCGGAAGTACTCCCGCCTTCCT